TACAGCGATGCCGATAATGATTGGAAGCAAGTTTTTGAATACATGAGAGACGAATATGGTATGGAAGAAACGACTCTTTTCTCATTTGGTGCTATACTTTGTGATATGGACAAGTATGACAAAGCTGGTAAATATTATCATCGTTTGCTTAATTCACTACCTGAAGATCATCCAGACATTGAAGTATGCTATAACAATCTCGGACGTATTGCCGAGAAGAAGGGAGACTACGACTCAAGTCTTGCATGGCATTATAGATCACTTCAGATTTCGTTAAAGACAGATGATCCTGATCTGGCAGAGAGCTACAATAGCATTGCTATTGTTAAGTGAAGACAAAGCGAATACAAACAAGCTCTTGAGTCATACAGTAAGGCATTGAGCATTTGGAAGAAAGCATACGGCGAAGATCATCCTAAAATAGACGCGTGCTTGAATAACATAGCTGGTGTCTATCAGAATGAAAAGAAATACTTGGACGCACTTGAATGCATTAGATGGCATTGGCCATTTGGATCACACATCTTCCGGCCGATCATCCTGATTTGGCTATGTCGCATAATAACATAAGCATCATTTATCGATATCTGGGGCAGTTTGATCTTGCATTAAAACATGGGAATCTGTCCTTAACAATCTTCAAAAAGTCTCTTCCTCATGAACACCCTCACATTGCATCAGTGCTTGGTAATATAGGACTCGTTTACGAGAATAAAAATGATTTGCAACAAGCGTTATCTTACTACGAAAAGACAGTCGCTATATATCGTCAATCGTTGTTTGTTACACATCCTGACCTTGTGCAAATTGAGGAAAAGCTTCGACGCGTTGCTGCTAAACTTAAACAATATCATTCGTAGCAAATCGAGAAAGGAAGTGGTTTATCGAATGCACACAAAAAAGCTTCATGAAATGAAAACCGAAAAGTACAATATTTCTTGGAGCGTTGGCGTGGATCAATGTGCCTGTATAGATTTGAAATGGGTGGGAATCTTCTTTTTACCTATTCAATCACTCACATAGATATTCCAAGATAGGTACTTACTAAACCCCACAGCAGACATCTCTGCTATTTGCTCTAATTTATCACCGCAACTTGTATGTTGATCAGATTCACTTATTTACTTCTTGAAGTCAATGTAATAAACACCTTCTAGTTTTTTTTTCAACAGTGTACCACATGCTGTCTGCTTCTATGTGCACTACGTTTCAAACACAAGGGTGTGAGGGTTGGTATGGGATATGAGTGTAGATGTACTTCTTCTCCTTACCCACACCCTGCAATGGTGTTTATTTCAACAGTAACGATGCTATTGCTCTATTCATCAATATGAAAAGTTCATTTTGTATGAATCGTTTCTTTTCGTTCAATACTATAATCAATATCTTTATTAGGCTCAGACGTTTCAATAACTCCAACTTATGAATAAGTATATATTTGACTCAATGAAGGACGATATTTGAATCGAATTGAATGACATAATGGAATTGTAATAGTCAATAAAAAAGTGAAAGTTTTAATTGTATTGTATGCATTGCTCTGTCTGATATAATAAAGCATCTTCGTAATTAAAAATCTTTATGCAACCTGTTCTTTTCTACACACGTTCACTAAGGTTGAATATTATGATCGATGAAATCGGACATTCAATAGATACATGAGTAAGTATAGATTATATCACTCGTTTTTCCAGTGACCTTCGACTACAACTGAACGGTTATCAATTATAAAAATAAGAATAATTCATATTGACATTTTATTGGTACAATAATTTTTAAAGGATTTTATAGATACACAACTGAAAAAAATTTCATTACGACGTCTTGTAACATAATGAGGATGAACGTAGGTGTTTATTTTTCTATTAAATTTATTTCGTAAAGTTCATATGGCGACTCAATTAATCCATTTTCTCTTTCTCTTGGATAACCAAGTGGATTATTTATATATTTTATACCATCACCAATATCCAATATCATTTTACGATGACTATGACCTGCGAAAAACAATAAACAATTCTTTTAAAACATTGAATGTTTGTTTGATACTACTAACCAAATATGTGCATTTGTGGTTGAATTAATTTTAACTGTTCATCTAGCAATTCAGTTCCAGCCACTAACGAGAAATTAGCTGTCAATGTTCCGCTTGCTATTTCTTCATTATGTGGTGTACCATTTTGACTTTCGAGCCATTTTTGTCGACGATAGGACATTTCACTACGATATGCCTGCATTAATTTTCTATATTTAAAGAAATATAAATGTGTATATAAGAAGTCTAATAATGTTGTCATTCATACATACTTGCTTGTTAAAAAATGTGAAAATGTTATAATTTTCGAGTTACTTTTATTTTTATCTAACCTGGATAAATGTTGTTCATTTAGTTTAACAAAATATTTTGCAGCTTCACATTGTGGTACTTCCTTAATTACGTTTTGTTAAAAAGAAAGGAAACGCAATACAAAATCTATCAAAAATACAAATCTTAGCTTTTCATACATCTGTCCATTGACACCAATAATGATCCATCCAGAGTTTTAAGTCGCTTTCAACATTAGGACTCGGCATATGTAAACTATTGTCATACCTAAAGAGATTACAACCAAATAGTAAAGATGAAAATATTCATGTGCTGCACGAATATGATAGGAAGAAAAGACAACGATAATGTTTCGACTACAGAACGGCATATATCTAGGCTATTAGAGATATACTTCTGAGGCTAGTGTTCTGGCTCTGTCGTTATACATACAACAATGGGTAGAAGAAGTATATATTTCTACAACCCTACATATCCATATTGTAATCAAAAATCATCGAAAAACTTATAGTCGCCTGTTTGTAGAAAAATATCAGTGACATATCCAGCCAAGTATCGTTTAAATTTAAATCAGTATATCCTCATTTTTTGTTCCCAGAGATAAATTTTAGAGTGAAACATCAATACGATACTGACCATCCAAATAAAGGCACAATGGTTACACCTTGATTAGTTACACCTGGTTTTGTATGTATACCAATATCATCGCACACTTTTAATATCTAAGAAAACAAAATAAATGCATATGAGTACTGAATAGAATAATAATTATATATCATTGTTTGCTACATGGTGGAATTTTTCTATAGAATTATGAATTTGATATTCTTCATCTTCTCTTAGTGATTTTGTCCATAATTCATGATTACCCGGACAATAGTAAACATCTTTAAATTTTGACTTGAATAATTTTAATATATGTACTAATTTGGATAGAATATGTGTGACATCACCTAAAATTAATCAACGTAGCTTTGTAACAGAACATTTTTCTAAACCTAAGTTTTTTAAATCTATAACACCAACCTGCAATAATTACTGTATCATTTAAATATTTATCATTTGACAAATGTTCAATCCATTTCATATTCTCATCGTAATCCACATGAAGATCTGAGATAGCATATATCTTTTCATCGGACATTTCAACAATAAAGAATACAATGTGCAAATCTTATAATATAAAATGCTTGAATAAATAATAACAAAATGCATACACGTGCATTTGAATAGGTAATTGTGAGCAAAGAACAGAATGAAAAAAATATTCGGTCGAGTATCGTCATGCCGCTTCTTTTCTTTTATTGCCTGCATCACACGACTCACAACTTACAGTTTATTGTATGAGATATTTGCCAATCATGATCTATCCGTTGTTACTTATAATTGGTCGCATTTAATCTCTAATATTTAGATACAGAAGAATCATATTGCGCTTTACTATAGGTTTAACTTGGCTTTCGGAAGATGCTATATAATCAATGTACCTATACTATGCTTCTAGTAGGACTGAAATATGCAAATGAAATCGTCGAAATAGATAAAACATTTCAAAAGAGCAATATAAATCCTCACTTTCAATACTTAATATAGGAATAATGTTACAAAAAGTGATGCCATTCTTTAGGTCATGTCAGTCACTCTTTCTTATACTTAATTGAATCTATCTGTGCATTTGTTCTTCTTCTCACTAACCATCGGTTCGAGTAGACGAATTAGTATGGTAATAGTTATTTGTTGGACCAAATAGGATGTTGCTATAGTCATTGATTATTTATCGCCTGCAAAGCTACCGACCAACTAACTGAAAAATATTATGTAGTTGAGGTTCATGCTCTTATTGTTCAGTCAGACATGTAAAAGAAACGAACTATTTCATCAAACCGTCAAAAATTTTGATCAACTCGATATCATCATCGCAAACGTTTGTTTTAATTATCGAGACGCATTTGACAAATTTGAACCAGGTAAGTTTTGAGAGATATATTTCGAATTTCAGCATAAACTAGGTTTTATTTTCTTCAAACAATACATATTCAATTCATATCAAATCAATAAAACATCGTATCATTGAAGAATTGAAGACCAACGATTATGATCAGTTTTTGAGTAACACTGATTCTTTAAACTTACTGTATGAAACGCGATCTAAAAGAAATGTTGAAGTATAGGAGCAAAAGTTTAGACCTAATTTCTTCTTTCCTACAGATCATAACTAGAGATGTGCGGGATCAAGGTCTTTTGGTGTCAATCTATAGAAATCATTTCGAGCATTTATTCACATCGTATGTAAAAGAAAAACTCTTTTATATTTACTATAGCTATATCTTTGACAATTCTTCATTGCATGTCTGAAGAATTAGGTAATAGGATGGTTGCAAGGATTGTGTCAACAATTTCTGTTGTATTTGCTTGAGAAGGAAAAAAAGAATTAGAAACAACCAATTTCGTGTTTATTTTTCTTTATACGTTTATATGTTGTACAAGAGAGAACAGTGTAGAAAAGAAGTGATCACTCGTTTTTTTTTTTCTATACTTTTTATTTTTAGCTTGAAAAAAACACAAACAAGAGAGTAGAGTAAACTTAAAATATCCAAGACGGAAAGAAAAGTAAATTATAGCAAGCTCAAGGATGAATAAAGACTGCACGTAAGAGTTTTATTTTTCTTTCTTTCTATGGTAATATATTAATTGCATCTTGTATCCATTGTTCTGATAATTGACTTAAGTCTAATGCATTAAATAATGCTTCAAATGTTTGACTTGGAAGTAAATCTTGTTCAAAATGTTTTAAGATTTTTGTACATGCTTCCATAATAAAAGCATCATTACAACGAAGAAATTGTGCCAATTGTTGATTGTATGGTATGGTCGATGTCATATCAAAACGCTATAAGACAAAAAAAAAACAATTCATTTCTCATGAGAAAACATATAATTGATTTGTTTTATTTTACCGGATTTAACATATGAACAAAAAATGCATTGACAAGACCAAAAAAGACAAGAGTTGTTTTATAAGTTGCAAATGGTTTCAATGCTTTTGAAGCAAGTCTAAAAACAATATATATATATATTTTGTGTGTTTTCATTTTAAATTAATTTCATTACTTTGTTCGATCATTTGGTGTATTAACTGATCGAATATGTGCAGTAACAAGAAGTTTTTGAAGAAAAGTACGACGATTTTTTTCCCAATCATTTGGTTTCATTATAATTAATGATAATGTTGTTAAAAAGAAAGGACCATCAACTTCAAATGCTTCATTTATTAATAAATCAGGACGACTAAGATAATTTTGTAATAATTTTTCTTCACGTTCAATTTGTCGAGTTCTACAAATCAAAACAAAAAGAAAAAAAAAATATTAACAAAAAAAGAAATTTTTTTTTTTCATTCGTACGTTGTAAGAACATAAAGTATTGTGTGCATTTCATATGGAATCAAACGTATATTTGATTCTCGTCCACCACCACCTGTATCTTCACTAAATGATTGTACATCAGCAAAACGAAGTAATAAAAGTTTTATGTCATGAATTGATAATGTTGGTGATGTTTCACGAATACCTGTTGCTTCAATTATATTTGTATCATATCTAAATTTAACCAGAAAAACAACATTTTCATAATTATAAGGGAAAATTCTTTTCAAAAATCTTGTCTGTGAATACTCATGAAAAGATTTCCAATGATCAATGAGTATAAATAAGTTGAAAATGGCAAGTAAGCCTTATGAGAAGAGAGAAAATTTTGAGCTGATACCTTGATCCGAAATAGATTTTCATAAATCAATAAAATTCAATTTTTAAGCTAAAAGATTTAAAACTTAAACTATCTAGAGACTTTATTTGATAGACTCTGTTAATCAACAAATTCATAAATAGTTCTCTTTATGTTGGAGATGTTCTCTCATCAGATCACCTAAGAAAAAAAAATAATTCTTTAAATCAAACCTTGCAAGTGCTGTTGTAAATTGTGCTTCAGCAACATCAGGTCCCCATAATGGTAATAAACCATTACAACGTGTATTTGCATTTTGTAATAAAGCTGATTCCCATTCATCTCTTGAACGTGCTTGTTTAATAGCTGATGTATGACAATCAATATGTATTATATTAAAATGTGTTACAGTTGCATAACCAGATGTTTTTCGTGTTTTAGCTTCATATGATTCAATATCAACTTTTTTTGTAAATGTATATATAGCTAAAACTTTATTTGGAAAATATTTATAACCTTCTCGACAAATACAACAAACATGACCAGTTTCATCAGTTAAATCAACATTAGGTACAGGTGTTTTTGAAACAGTTGCTGATGATTCAGATACACTTTTATTTCGTGTTATTTTAGTTAAATTTAATTCACGCATTTTTCTATCACGTGCTTCTTGTGCTAAACGTTTTTTCTCAGCACGTGTTTGATTTCTAACATCATCTATTTTTTTAGCAACTTGTTCATTTTCTGTTAATGAATGTAAAAGATCTTCAGCTAAAACACCAACTTTACCAGCTGTTGGTAATTGTTCAATTTTATGTAAAATTGGTATTAAACTTTGTCCGATTTTCATTTGTATATGTTCATGTCCATAAGATAAACCAGTTAATAAACGTAATACATAAGATAAACTTGGTTTATTTAAAAATTCTTTCCAACTATCTTGATCTTGCATACCTAAATATGTTTTAACTTGTGGTGAATTACTTTCAATATAATTTATACATTGATCAATAATACCATTTGATTCATTAACAAGATCACGAAATTCTTTACCATAAACAGATTTTTTATCTAAATGTTTACATATTTCACAAAAACAATCTAAATGTAATTGACTATCATTATCATTTGATGTTGTTGTTGATGATGATGTTTGTTCAAGATCAAATCGATCAAATTCTAAATATGATTTAAAATAATCAAGTAATGTTTGCATTTTTTCTTTATTTCCAAATGATAAATATGGTAATAAATGAATAAGAGCTTCCATTAAACTTGGATGAGTTTTAACAAATGATAATTTTATATAATTAAGTAATGAACGTAATTGTTCAATATCACCTAAAAAAAAATACAATTATGGAAGAATTTCTAGATTTGAAAAAGATCTATTTGAACCAAATCGTATCTCTATTCGCTCAAATTATATAGAATTATGTTAGTTTTGAGAAGATGATGGATTTTAAAATAACTTTGTCTTATATAATATCAAACAAAAAGACGTCCAGAATTCTCCTACTGAGATTTTTGAAGACCAAAGGTTGATAGCTATTGCCACTGTCAAATTATTGAGCTTACATCCACTTCCCTTTTTATTCTGGCGCGGGCAATAGTTAAAGATAGTTTTGTGTATACGAAAGTCACAAATGCATATATTTATAATTTCAATCTTGTTCAAATTTTCTTTTCTATCATATTTTCCGAAACAATATGGTATCGATGTCACTATGGAAATGATTTGTTGATTATAATAGCCTACGGCGCAAAAGTCATTCATTCATTTTTCGATCACGTAAAGACAAATGGTTATAGTTACAAATAATAAGTTTGAAATGTGAACAACGATCATCAGATTATGTCAAAGTTGCAGTTGTACAAAATACTATGTTGACCAAATTTATTGGTACAGTTGTTCAATCTTACTTCTAAAGAAAATTCTATAGATGAATTGGAAAAGAGTGAAAGATTCTGATTTTAATAGTCTGTCGATAAATAGCAGAAAAATGAATAAATGACTTTTTGTAATAGAAATATCGTTTTAATTGAGATCAAAATTAATGAAAATAAATAATAACTAACCTTCACATGATACTGAAAATTCATTATATTTATCTTGTGATAATGTTGTACTTGCTTCATGAAATAATTGATCCATAATAAAAAGAAGTTTTTCTGTTAATGATAAAAGTGCTTGATCACGTCCTTGTTCTTCAATTTCAGTTTTTAATAATAAATTAAGTTTATTTAACATTGATGATATTGAACGTAAATTTGGATCAATTAAACGTTGTCGATTAACTTTAAGTTTAATAGCATATTCAAATAATTTTAATAAAATTTGTAATAAAGCTTTTCCTGATGACATATCATCAATTGAATTTAAACGTTTAAGCATTGTTTCTAAACCTGAATGTTCACTAAGAACATTAGCTAAACGATATATATCTTCAGGATCATCTTCACCATTTTCATTAGCATTTTTCTTTGTATCAAATGTTTCAATTATATCTTCTGTTGCATCACCTAATAAACCACGCATACGATAAACAATATGCATTGGTTCATGTTCATTTTGTGATGGATTAACAACTGCTTGAGCATTACCTGCTGTTGGATCAGCATTAGAAGGTATTGTTTGATGAGAATTTATATAAGGTAACCAAACTTTTTTATAAACATCACGAACAGCTAAACCTAAATTAACTATTTTATTTGCAACAAGTAATTCCATGCCATTGTCATCTTCAAGTAATGCAATTAATTCACAATCAGTACATATTTTATTTTTTATATCACGCATTAATGGACCCATGGCTGGATCTGCTGAACTATATGGATTACCCATCATTCGTCCTAAAACGAGAGAAAATAAAAGTTATTTTCATGATATTGTCGATTGATTGCGAGTTACATAAAAGAAAAAACAAATTGTATGCAAAAAGTTTTAGATTACAACTTCATTCTCTTATTTTTGTGAAAGTCAACAATTTGAAATAAAAAAGTAAATATCTTTAACTTTTGGTTCAAGATTGAAACTAATGATTCGTGTGGATAGAGTGACGAGATTTTGTATTTTATTTGTTCGAATATTCTTAGGATTTGTGTAAGAATTGCTTTCGATTAGAACGATATTTCAGAGTTTCAAAGCGTCTATTCTTAGAATTCATTCGCTAACATCGTTCGACATTGATGACTTAAATGAAATTTCAAAGCTACAAACAAAATTCGTGTAATGTCGAAATTTTCGGCTGATTTTTCAAGCCCTTAGTGTACCCATCGGACTTTTTCTTTGAAATCGACACTAGTCAACGTTCAAAATTTATTCGTGCTTATGCTTTATCGCTCCTAGATTACTGAATTCTCCATCTTAAGCGTGAATAGCCGAACGAGAGATGTTTCAAAATTACCAATCGTGTTTTCCAACAAAACGTAATCAGTCTTTCGAAGAATCCTATATTGGTAACTCCCTGACAGTATTTACATTAAATACTGTACATCCATATTTAGTATAACTATTAGTATCTTTCAAAAGTTAATTTGTTCAAAACAAACCTTGTAAGAAATCTTCTTGATTTGGATCTTTTTCCACGACAATAAAAAATTCTTTATTTTCTTGCATAGTTTCTTCTGGATAAATTAAATTACATAAACGTTCAAATATAAATAAAGGTGTTTGCATATCATCTAATTGAAATTTTTCAATTGTATCAATACAAATAATCATAAATTGTCTTGTTTCTTGTTCATTACCTCTTGTCATTTGTTCTAATAATTCTAACATTTTATTTTGTGCTTCATCAATTAATTTTGTACGTTGTACAATTAATCTTTTTAATGTTAAATAACCATTTAATACAATAGCAATTAATATTGATTTATATTTTTGTTTTAATTCATCTTGTTGTAAGAATATATTTAATAATTCAGTTAATGATTTAATTGAATAACCAAATGTTAAATTTGAATTTAATAAATTTTTTTCATCTTGTTTATTAATAATTAATATTTCATTTTCAATTAATGATGCAAGATGTTTAATTATATTAAATTGTTCATCATTACAAAGTATTAATTTTAATTGATTATCATTTAATAATAAATCTTTAATTAATTGTACATATTCATAAGAATATTTTAAAAGATTTTCATCACATATATTATGTAAATAATGTATTAAAATTTGTATAATAAATAATTTTTGTTTATCATTTATACAAAGTGTTTGTATTAATTTACATGTTAAAAAACGTATTGTTGCTGATTGTGGACAAAATATTAATTTTTCTAACCATGATTTATTAATATATGTTAAAGAAAAATTATTATTATTATTATTATCATTTGAATTATTATTCCAATCATTATATGTTAATTGTTTTGATAGAAATTTTTCAATATCAATTGATATTAATTTTGTATTTGTTGTTATTTGTGATTTTGATAAATGTAATAACATTCTTAAACAAGGTAATGTTATTAATTCAAGTATTTGTGGTGTTGAAATTTTTAATGAATAAAGAAATAATTTAAATATACAACGTAATTTATTTTCCCAACATAAATCTTGATCATCTTGATTTGAACGTTGTATTAAAGAAAAAAGTACTAATAAATCATAATTAATTAATGATGATGATGATAAAATAAATTTTTGTTGAAATATTATTTCAATTTTATTAAAAATTTTTGTTGTTATATAATCTGTTAATTGTATATTATCACGTGTTAAATAACAAAATAATAAACGTACATCATGACGTATTTGTTGATTTGTATAACGTATATTATTTAATAATAATTCATCAATTAATGATATATTATTTGTTATAGATTGTTTTAAACGATTTGATGATGTAACAAATGCACGTAAAAGTAATATACAATGTGATATTGTTGATAATATACAACCATAACAATGATGTGAACGTGATGGTGTTGTTGTTAACATTAATGTTGTTGATAAATTTGAATGACGTTGATCATATGTATAAAGTTCTTTACGTGCACATATTATTTTTTGTATACATTTACCAAGTTCATCATATGTTTGACGACATTCAGTATTATATTTCGGTGCTATTTGTTGAACAATACGATTAATACCATTTGGATTATTTGCTGATGTTAATGTTATTGTTGGTGTTGGTGTTGGTACCGTCGGAGGTTGTTGTTGTTGTTGATCAGATGTTTCACCGGTTGTGGTTGTATTTGTTGTTGTTGTTGTAGTTGTTGTTGTTGGTATTGAAGGTATTAATGTTGAACTTTGATCATCAGAATTTAATTTTGTTAATAAATATTCAAGAAGTGGTTTTTGATTAATTAATTGACGATAGATTTTATCAGTTTTTTCTAATAATTGACTTATATTAGCAATTGTTTTAGCACGATCTTCATCAGATTCAATAGGTTCAACATAATTAACTTGTTTAGCAGTAAAAATAAAATCAAATTTACAATATTTGCAATAACCACAAGAATTACATAAAAATGGATCACGTTCATCATAATTTATTGATCGACATTTATGACACTAGAAATCAAAAACAAAAAAACATGAAGGAATTTTCATTATAGATTATTTATCTTTCAACTTCATTACATTCTATTCTGATATCAATCGAAAACAATATTTTTACTCTGTCCGATTTAATAGTGACTCATAAATCTATATAGGTCACTATATTAGAATTCTACTTAAATATTGAAAAATTATCAGAATTAATTAAGATTTCTTGTAATTTTGATAGCTGTTTGGTAAGAGTTTCGAATGTAGTTTGAAATCGATAACTACATATTATCAATCGAATATTCCACGGTGGATCAAACTCTCAGTATATAAATCATCTGTTATGAAACACGATTTAGAAGTACTGTTGAAATATATCCGTACAAATTAGATCTTCAAGATAACAACCTATCATCCCCTCTTTTACATTGACTGTAATCAAAATCTATATCAATAAATTTTTTGTTTCAATCGGTAAATATTCATTGTTTGTTTTTTTTCGAACCTGAAAAACATTTTCACCACAATTAGGACAAATGCCAGGTGTTGCTGCTACAGCTGAATTACATCTTGGACATTGTAATGTTGTTGTATCTGTAATAGCTGGTATACCAGATGTTGGTGTTTCAAAAAAATCTACATATTCAATCATTAAATTACAAGCAATAATTGGTATAACAAAATCAATTTTAACTTCTGTTTGTTGTATATTTGTTAATTTAATTGTTTTAGCTAATAACCATTTACAATTAACACTATTTTTTAAATCAACTATTGATTGTACATGACGATTATTATAATAAAAACGTATTGTACGTACAGCTTTATTACGTTTTATTTCAGACATTTTAATATGTAATTTTTGTATTGAATATGCTTGAATTAATTTAATTATATGTGATTGTGTTGTATAACGTTGATCAAGTTTAATAGTTTGTAATTTAACTTGTTGATATGGTATATCAGGATTATTACAAACTAAACATGGTTCTGTTTCAAAATAATAACCATTATTTTGTTCAATATCAATTATTGTTGATAAACGACGATAAATAGTTGTATTTGGATGATTTAATAATAATTGATTTTCACTTTTTAACATTAATTCTAATTTAGGTAAAAATTCATTTGTACGTTTATCATCTTTATTTTTAATTATAATATAACCTAATAAATCAATATATTGAAATGATTTTTGTCCATAATATGATATAGTTGACCATAAATTAATTAATATATCAAATATATAATCTTGTAATTGTTTATTTGAATTTATATATAAATTATATAAAAATGTATGTGTTAACCAACGTGTAGATTGTTGATTATTTTCTAATAAAAATAAACGAATAAAATCTTCTAATAATTTATTTGATATTATTTTAGAAAATTGTAATGCTATTGAACATATTGATATATCATCAGTTGTATCAAAATCATTTGGACGAACAGATTTACTTGTTTTTATTGTTCGATTTGATGATGATGTTGTTGTTGTTGTTGTTGATGATGATGTTGCTGTTGTTCCTGTTGCTCCTGCTGCTGTTGCTGCTGCTGCTGATGATGGTGATGATATTGAATTAATTAATAAATGTAGTATAAATGGTACTAATGAATCATCAACAAGCATAATTAATTGAACAAGAAAATTTAATATTGTTGAATCATTTTTACAAAATTTTTGCCAATTTGAACAACGTTGAATACTTATATCTTGACATGATTTTAAATGATCAACAAGACGCATTAATGTAACATATGGAATTTGTGTTGATATTGTTTTACGTTGTTCTGTATTATTTAATGAAAAATTTTCTTCATAGATATTTTTTATTTCACTTAAATTTGTTGATAATACATGAAAATCACGTAATTTACGATATTTATCACGTGATCCACATATATACATAAGTAATTTACGAATTTGACGTTTAAGAAATGAACCTTGAGGTAATACATAATATTCACATAAACATTTTTGCCAATCAGTTGAAAGTAAAAATGGATGTGCTTCAGATGTATAATCAATTACTTTTTTCATCTATGAGAATAAAATAAAAATAATAAATTAATTGTTTTTTAGTTGTTTTTTCTTTACTTACTTGATATGGTAATCTTGTTGCAATTTCTGCTAATAATTCTGGATATGCTTCAAAAACATCATTAGCATGATGTTTTGTATATTGTTTATAAAAAAAAGGTGATAAATCTGGTAATGATTGTTGATTAAGTGGTTTCAAAAGTGTCATTATTGATATTGATGATGTTTGTGAATTATTAGTTGATGTTGTTGTACCACTGGGTGATAGCATTGTTTGTTCATTTAATAAATTTTCATCAATCGGTTGTTTTACTAAATATTTATAAACAGTTTGTAATGCATATAAACAATAATTAACAACATTTGATTCTTCTAATTGTTTAGCTGCTGTTGATGATAAATCTAAATATTGTTCACGTTCATTATCACGTACTTTAAGCATAAATGAAACATAAACAGTAAATAATCTTAATAACATTAATTGTATTTCATGTTGTGATGTACGTTTAATTAAATCATTCATATTATTATGATTAATATCTTTTAAAAATGTCATTTGTCTTAATAAACTTTTTAATATATAATGAACAAATTGTTGATTATTTACATCTGATTTTGATGCAAATTCAATTGTTAATGTTAATAATAATTGTAAATAAGCTATAGAATTTAAACCATTTAATGTTGAATTATTTAATAAATATTCATCAAGATTATCTAATAATTTTTCAACAATTAAATGTTTTAAATCATATAAACGTTGTTCATATATACTAGAATCAATTGATTCATTAATATTTAATTTAATTGTTGAATTTGAATCATTTGATGATGATGATAATGGTGCTGATATTGGTGATGATAATGATGTTTGTATTGGTGTTGATGTTGTATTATTATTATTATTATTATTTGTAGTATTATTATTATTTGTTTGTTCACCACCTTCATTTGTTGTTGAACTTGATTCTGATTCATGACCATCATCACCTTCATATAAACTATTATTATCACTATGATCATTTTGTGTGTTTGTTGATTCTTGATTTAAATTATCTGTATTAACCATTAATTCCATCATTTGATTTATTTCCATATCATTTTGTGTTGTTGATGGTATTTCATCATCATTATCAACATATTCAATTGTTTGTTGTAGATTTTCTGTTATTGTAGATGGTGATGGAATTTGATCAGGATTTTCTGATAAACTTAATGCAAGTGCATATTGTAACATAGCTGTTTCATCGGTTCCAATTGGATCTGTTATTGTTGTTGTTATTGATGATGATGGTGGTGGTGGTGGTGGTGGTGGTGGTGGTTGTTCTGTTGTTGGTACATTTGTCCAACGTGGATGATTTTGTTGTTCAGTTGTATAAATTTGTGCTGATAATGGTATTGCATGAAATTGTTTATCATTTGTATCTGGTTGATTTAAATCACTTGCTGTTGATAATTTTGATATTAAACGTTGAATTTTTGGCTGCATACAACGATTTAATGCATTTTTAATTATAAAATTAATATGATAATCATGATATGTTAATAAACGTATATATGAATTAACAATTAAATTCATACATGTATGTGGTTCATTTAATGCTAATGAATGATATATATCAACAAGTATATGAAGAAGTTTTTCAATTTGTTTTAAATTAATTGTTTTATTATCAATTGATTCAAGTAATGGATTTGATGGACGTTGATCTAATAAATAAAAAAATATATTTATTAAATATGGTATAAATATTTCCATTGATGCTGATTTTGATATAGCATCTTTTGATTCATTTTGTGTTATTGTTAAATAACGATTTATATTATGTGGACGACGACGTGTTATTGATAATAATGATAATAATAAATATTCATAAGATTGTATATCATTAAATAATTCTAAATAATTTATTGATGAAAAACATTGTGATAAAAATGTTAATTGTAAACGATCAATATGTTCATAATAATCAAAATCTGATGATGATATTGATGAAAAAAATTCTTTTAATAAACGACGTGAATATCGTTGAATTTGTGATGGTAATGACATATGAAACATATGTGATGTATATTGAACAATATCAGAATTTAATTTTGAACGATTTTGTTCATCAAGATTATGATGTAAACATAATGAACCAGTTAATACTTGCATACTATAGACAAGTAACCTAAAATAGAAAAAATATATGTGTATCAAATATTTAATTTTTATTAGGTTTTAGTAAAACAAAATTTGAACAATTTTTATTTCAACACACAGAATCAGATTCAATATATTGAGCTGATTAGGCTTTTTAACTCGATGGATGTGAGTTTTGAACCAAGAAAAACTATACAGATTTTTCTAGAAGTCTCCAATCTATTTGAAATATTGATTTGCAGATTTTTCAACAGAAACGTGATAAACCTTAGTCTAGTTGAATTCTCCATATGGGTTTAAAAAAAGATAGAATAGAACATTTGCGCCTTGTCATTTGAGATTTATTCTCTATAAGATTGAATTTTTTGGATGAATTTTTTTCACATAGGCTTATATGAAAATGTTTGATCTTTCACATGCTTATTAATTATAATTAATTACTTAAAAAGTAATTGGCGATTATCTCGCTTACCATATGAGAAAAAAATCTGACAACTTCAGGATAGGCTCTAGGGCACAAGTTGCTTTTTTTTTGAAAAATCTAGATATGCTCAGAAAAATTTTACATATAGACTTTATAGTCTTAGGAACCATCTGTGAGTACCCTATTTATTATTTTAAAATGATGCATGAATTAAGAGTTGTTAACAACTAAAATACACGAAGTGGCAATCGATGTCCTCTTTTGTATCAAGTCACTAACGGTGGTTTTTTTTCCGATAACTCCTCTAAACAAAGCTTCATAGCCCTGATTTTTTTAGCACATCTAGAATAACTTAATGTCTATGCAATATATAAAAATCAGATTTAGGAAAGCTTATTATCTCGAGATACACATATTTTAATTTTGCTACGTCACATCGCTAACAATTGATTTTATCAATGTACAGAAAGTTTGTAATCAAAATTCGATAGCTTAATCAAATATCCATAAGTTTACAAGGAAAAATAAAAAGTGCTCAAATTTTATATTATCAATATCTTAATCAAAAATTCATTAACAAACCTATCAGGTAAAGGTAATGTAGCTAATTCTTTTTCATCATTTGTTTCTTTAAATGAATGTAAATATTCATTAATTGCATTTGTTGTTGTTGTTGTTATTGCTGTTGTTGCTGTATTATTTGTTGATGTTAATAATGATCCATCAATATTTTCAGGCCATTGAAATTCTTCTTTTGTTTTACCATAAACTTTAACATCATCAATAACTGTTATATGATTTGTATCAACTGATTGTGAAATAAATATATTAAATTTTTTTTCAGCTTGTATTGATTCTTCACGTGTTAAACATAAATCATACCAACGTGGTCCTTGTAAATTATTAACTTGTATTGTACGTCCAAATAATTCAAAATATTGTGGTGATTTATCCATTGAATATAAACCAATATGTATACGTACACCTGTTATAACTTTATTATCTGGATCTTTATTAATAACTTCAAGTGTAAAACCACCTGTACGAACATTAGCAACAAACATTCCTGGTGTTGATAAACGTAATTTAAGTTGTGCTACATTATAAACATCAAGTAAATCACGTCCACCAAATTCATATTCAGTTAATAATTGACATGATTCAAAAAAGTCAACAGGAAATTTAATTGAACCATTTGTAGATTCATTTGTTGGATTAGTTATTGTTGTTGCTGTTGATGCTGATGATGATGGTGTTGTGGTTGTGGTTGTAGTTGTAATTGTTTGTTTTCGACGTTTTACAATTGGTTCTTGTTGATCATCAGTTTCATTATCTGATAATGTATATTGATAATTAATATTATCATAATCAAAATATTCATCATTTAAATCTAAATCAAACATAGGAAAATATTTCTTTTTTTGATATAATTTATTTAACCAATAATTTGTTTTATCTAATTCAGCTAATAAAATTTTTAAACTACCATCATCAGCTAATAATATAAATGTTGTTCGTTGTTCATAACGTATAGCAACAATATCTTGAATTTTTGTTGTTTTTAATTGCATTTTAATTTCACTTAAACGTACATTTGATGGTGTTATCATTAATATAACTGGATTATTTGTCATTTGTGTCATTGTATATATTAAACCAGGATGATGAGGAATTTCTGACCATGAACATAATGTATGATATGTTGATGTTGATGTTGATTTATTATTACCATTTGTTGATGTTGATGTTGATGTTGATGTTGTTGTTGGTGTCATTTTAACATCAATTGAACGTATCATTAATAATTTTTCTACATTTCTTTCATCAATAATACCATAGAAATTTTTTCCATGAACATATGACCAAAATAAAAGTTTTAATGTTGAAGAATAATAAACTGATACACCACCACCAAGTAATATACCATTATTATTTGTTTCACTTATTGTTTCATGTTTTATATCAAGTGTATTTGTTACATAAAATGAACCATTACGAGCTGATGATGATTCACATAATTGTTCATAATATATATAACCATTTGAAGCCATTATTAATATATAACAACATTCAATATTATTATGTTTTGTATAATAAAATGTACAATCACGTACTTTGCCTAAAGAAAAAAAAAATTTATTTAATATTAAACATAAAGCAGACTTCAAAATTCACAGTGACTAATTAGAAAAGAAAATCTTTCAAACGAAGTTTCTATACTCATCATATAATGTCTTCTACAAGTATCTTGAAAACTCAATTAAGGAAAAGACATATGGTAATATGTTATCTGGTGTAGGTACCCTGAAAACATGGACACAAGCAACCACACTCACATAATTGCATAGTTTCCTTTCAGAAACACTAGAAAAATTAATTTTCGACTTGAAACTATGTACAGAGATAAATATTTTAAATGGAAATAGTTTATTATAAAAATTTCAGTTCTTTTCATTTGCTTTTTGTCTGTTATATTGTAATAATTTTTACTTTGAAAAAAAATGACTGATTAATAAATTACCTGTTGGAAGTATAAAATAATAAATTGGACTAAGTGTATCAGTACTTAAATCATAAATTTTAATAAAATCAGCTGTTAATAAAGCAAGTTGTGCTTGATTTTTATCTGATAACCATTGTGCACGTATAATATAATTTCCTGTTGAATCTAAATTTGGTTGAAGAATAATAGTTGGTTCTCTTAAACGTCCATTATTATCAATATTTAATATATGACAATCTTTTAAACCAGTTATACATAAATAATCACTATTTAATTGATTTGGTTGCATTGATAATATTGTAAATGGTATATTAAATGTATTTAATTTATTTAATGTTAATTTTTTTTTTGTTGTATTATCATTTGTTATATTATTATTATTAATCATTGTTGTTGTTTGTTTAAGTAATGAATTTAATTGTAATATAGTTATCATAGCTTGTTTACCTTTTTCTTGACTAACAATTAAATGTTGTTTTGTTTGTTCAGGATTTAATGATGACATAATACACATACCTTGACGACGTATAGAATTAGTACTAAGTAATTGTTTTATTTGTTGTCCATGTTCATTTGTAAATGATAATTTAACATGTTCAAATGCATTTTCTTGTGAATGTAATATATTAGTACATAATTGTTGTTGTTGTTTATTTTCATCATTTTCACTAGATAATAATTGATTATTTATTTTTAAATATTCTGATATTAAATCAAATTTATTTTCAATATTATATATTTGTTGATATTGATTATCAATATATGGTTGAAGTAATTTAAATAAACGTAATGTATTATATGGTATATGTTTATTTTGTATACATAAATTATATTCTGATTGTTTAGTATTAATTTGTCGTATTAAACGACGTTGACGATTTGTTAATTTAGGTTTTTTATTTGATAATGATGATAATTTTTTAGATTTTTTCTTTTGTATTGTTGATAATGATGTCATTGGTTGAACAATTGTTATAGGTGTTGTTGATATTGAACGTTTAACTAATGCTTGACATGAACCATCTTCTTTAGCACCACAATCACAAAAAAATGAACCATATTTAGCATAAGATATATCATGATCTTTATGACAAACATTAGCACATATTTGACATATACCAACACGATCAATCATTTTACATGTATGACAATGATACCAATGTTGATTAGCATATTCTTTTTTTGTTGTTGTATAAGTACATAATTTATTTGGATCATATTCAGGTTGAATTGTTGATGAAAGAAGAATTTTTTTTTGTTCAATATTTGTATCTTCATCATCTTGTGAATCATCATCTTCATCATCAGTTTCATCAATTTTTAATGAAGATTTTAAAGATATTGATTCATTTGTTGATAAATATTTTAATGCTATTAATATATCATTTATATAAGCAAGTAAATAAACACTTGCTTCAAGAATATTATAATGAAAAAGTGTTAGAGATTCAACAGATGATGAAGATAGAAGTGATGATAAAAATTGTGATGTTAAACTAAAAATATAGACATAAAATTAAAAAAGAATAAAGTTTTTAATATATATTTCAAAAAAAGGAAAGATTATATGTTTGAATATTTACCATTTCTATCAAATATCATAAAAAAAAATTTTGTGAAACAATTTAAAGAACTCGTCTTCGATGTGATAAAATATATGGCAAAATTTTTATAGCAAAATTCTGGATGCTACTAGTCGATGTTAAACAAAAAAAGAGACCTAATCTAAACTATCAAAATTTTGTATCATGCTGTTAACAAGTTCTTGAATTTTTTGAATAAAGAAGCGTATAAAAGCACGTTCCTTAAATGTTTTCATCGATTATAATTGAATATGAATAACTAGGACGATTATTTCAAACATTCAATAAAATAACGACTTCATGAACTTGTTTCCGTATTTCTATTTTGTTCTACTGATTAGAATCTGTCGAATTAGGGTTCAGAAATTTTAAATCTGATGAGCTCTACTACTGACATACTACTATTATTATGATCTAATATTATCCCAGGTCTACTGTTCCGATCGCCGGAACCGCTTGTCTCCTTTGTTTTCCGGCAGCGGATCCTATAGATTCCGTTGGTTTTCGGTCGGCTCCGTTGACTTCCGACGATTTCTTGACTACAGGATTCCGGTCCAGTTTTCACCGGAAAAATTCCGATAAGTTCCGCAAAATTTCGACCAGGAATTCGTCGGAAATCGACGGGACCGATGGAAACTGATCGGAACTGGTCCGACGAAATCTGGACCGGAATCCTGTAGTAAAGAAATCCTCGGAATTTAACGGAACCGATCGGTTCCGACGTACCGAGCTTCATCTGGGATCCTGAGCTCTTATCGAGACTTTATTATTAGAATATTAATCGAAGACTATTCCAATGTGAGTAACATGTAGAGATTCGTTTTTTTTTTATTATCAGATCACATAGAAAGCTTCTTTAACCTTTTTTTTAAATAAACATCTGACATACTTTCATCACATTATTTTTCATATGTCTTAAATAATATTTGAATAATTTTATATAAAAATTCTTACTTTTCATTTTGATCTGCAAGTGTATCAGCACAAAATTCTAACCATATAGCTGCAGCTTGAAATAAAAATATATGTCCATTACCATTACCATGTCCAGCTAAAATAACTAATAATTGTATAATTTGTGGAAAACCTAATGCAAATTTATTTGGTTTTAATAATTCATTTCCTAATTGTATTAATACAGATAAAATTGATAATGAAACTTCTTCACCAATCATATTTGTACTATCATCATTTTTTTTAATTAAATATTTTGTAAATGTTTCTAATATATGTTTATATTGTTCAGCTGTATATAATTGATTTTTTTCATTATTTTGTAATAATACAAGTTTTGATAACCATTGTGATAATTGTTCATTTGTTAAATTAGCAATATGATTTAAATCTTTAATTAATATTTGAAATTGATTTGAATAAGAAAAAATTTTATTAAATAACATTAACATTCTAGCAAATATTGATAATGATAAATTTGGTTTTGATGTTAAATAAAGTAAATCAAATAAATTATGTAAATTTAAACAATTTTGAAATATATTTGGTTGAAATTGTTCATCAAGATATTTAATTAAATCATGATATATATCTTCATTAATAATATCATTAGGAAAATTTTTATTAAATAATATTTCAAATATATTTTTATATATACATTCATTAATATCATTTTGTATTGTTTCTGTATTAATATCTTTTAATTTAATTTGATCTTTAAGAAATATTAAATTTGTATTTAATTGTATTTCAATATATATTTGTTTATCATTTATTTCTGAATTAATTGTTGATAATATTTGTAAAATTTGTCGAAGAAATATATAATTTAAATCATTTTGTTCTAATGTATAATCTAATTGATATTTAAATAATTCTTCAAAATCATTTGGTAATGTTGGTATTGTTATTGTTTTAGTTTTATCTTCAATATTTTTTGTTATTGGTATTAATAATAATGATTCAATAGATGAATTTGTATTTAATGATAATTTAAATTGATTAAAAAAAATTTTATATAAATGATTAATTTCTTCTGATGTTGATGTTAAATTTTGTAATAAAATTTGATAAACAATTAAATCAAATAATGAATAAGATTTTTTATCAATATTTTTAAACCATTGAATATTTGTAAATGTTATATCTTTTGAAAGAAATTCTTTTATATATTTATCTTGTAGAATTTTTTTTTCAAGACGAAATAAATGTAATAAATATGTTGTGTCAGTATATGTATCCATATTTTCAAGAAATTCATTTGATGGTGGTAAATAACCAAGTATTCGCCATAAAAGATCATAATATTGTTTGAATAATGTATTGCTTAATCCTTCTAAAATGTATGAAATTAAAGTTCGACACCAACGATAATTCTTATTTTTTTTTTTTTATGAGAAAATGTCTTCAACTCATCAATGACTTTTGATATTCACACTCAATTTAGAAGATAGACCAGCATGAGATAGAAAAAAATTCCATTAGGATAAGTTCTCTTAGACTTTCTATTCAGAATTGTACGTATTTTACTACAATTTTAGTCATCGATTGGATATATACCAACAAATCGAGTGATGATATTTCGTCCACACTTGATAGCCTTTACTGATGTCCACTTTATATATAGAATTCAAATTCAAAAATGATTGATCTTAATTGTTTGTAAGTCGTGTTATTCTATATTAGATGGACTGACTTGATACTAGAGAAAATCTAGAAATAATGTTCATGGTTATGAGGCTTTGCACTTGAACTATGGATGTTTTAGTGAAGTATGTAATACAATGCCATAATTTACCGCAATCGACTTTGACAATAATCATAATCTCAATGGAATTTATCCATCGTGAAAGTATATAATTTTTCAGTATATACTATCGTCATATATCAATATTGAAAATTTCATTGAGCTAATTTCGATAAGAACTTCATTTTTATTCAAAGTTTAAAACTCGAAGAATCTTGATACTCTCTGATCAACTATCGTATTTTGTTGAGAAATTTATTAAAATAATCATAACACAAGAGCAAAGATCTATAAGCATGAATTATTTTTAGACGCTCTCGAATTTCAATATAACTTGTCTTATGAGTTAAGACACATAACAAAAGTCATTGATCATCTAGTGACATTTCTCATTAGTTTCTTTTTTTTTTCGTCATGAAAATTATAATACATTCCTCTACATGCAGATAGACTAATTAAGACTTTTAACATTTATTACAATGTCCAGATACATAACCAAAAGTAAAACAATAATTAACTAGTATTAAAAATCTTTCGAAAACTTCTACAATCTGATTAAGCACAACTATTTATTGATATTAGAAATCTGCAGGATAAGGTTTTTTTTTTCGTACTCGATACCCTAACGAAGAAAAATTTTCTAATTTTTATCCTACCCGGCAGGGAACAGGGTAAGATAATCATATACATGTCTCATGGGTATTCTTATATGGGAGATATGTTCTTACCTTTATTTATTTTTGTAAAATCTAATTGTTCGATAAGATAATTATAGAATTGATTATAAATTGGATTATTATAAAGATTTTTTAAAGCAAATCCATCAAGATAATTTGAATTATTTTTTATAATAATTTGATTAAAATTTATTGTAGGTGTAATATCATTTTTTGTTATAATTTGTTGAATATTTTCAATAATTTCTTCAGGAATTTCGTAAAAATTAAACATAATATATTCAAATAGAATTAATAAATAAATATTATGTTTTGTTGTTTGAATAATTTGAACAAGTTGTAATAATATATTTTTACGTTGTGGTATTGTTATTTGATGAAAAAATACAATAAATATTTCAAGATGTTCAAGTGTTAATTCATCAGATGAATTTGATATACTTTGAAGAAATTTATCCCATAATAAACATATTAATTCATGATTTTTTCTTTTTAAAACAATTTTAAGTAAAATAATTAAATTATGAATAGAAATTTTTAATGGCCATGATTGTTCAAATGAAATTCCAAGTTTTTCAAGTAATAAATTTTCATTTGTATGTGTTAATATATCATTTTGAATAAGATTATGAATAAATCTTGGTATTATTAATGAATGTTTAATTAAATATGATAAATTTTCAATTTGTTCATTTGTATTTAATGTTAATGTAAGATCATTAATAAGTATTGATATATTTTGATTTAAATAATTTTTATCAAGATAATTTAATAAATCATTATGATCATCTTGATCAAATATATCATCTGAACATAAATCAATTTCTAAACAACGATTTAATATTGTTCGTTTACGATTATTTAATGATAATGAACGATAAATTGTTGGTTGAGTTGTTGAAGTATTTGTTAAATTTACTGTATTTGTTTCATCAAATAAATTTTTTATACCAAATGTATCTTCACTAATATTTTCTGTTGATGGAGTTTCAGGTGGTAATGGTGGTGCATCAGGAATTGTTGTAGATATTTTTATTGTTGTTGTTGATGATGTTGATGATGATGATGATGAAATAAGACGATGTAAAATTGTTAAAAATAATTTTAATGTTTGATATTCTTTTAAATAACTATAACGTTGAGATGATTGAAGTAAATCTGTTATATTTTTAAATGAAAATTTTTCATTAAGAGAATCAATTATTTCAATATTGGAATCAGTATATGATATATCATTAATTAATTCTCGAGTTGAAAACATTAGAATTGCAACAAGATGAATTAATAGATTGTTTATTGATCTAATAGAAAAATGATTATAAGAAATTTCGAAATTATTAGAAGATTAACTTACATTTTTGATTGTTGTTGTGTATCATTTTGAGTATTATTAATATTTTGAAGAATTTCTTTAATTCCTTTAGTTAATGTAATTGCCAATAAAAGATGATAATTAAGAAAAGTATTTCGTGAATTCTCAAGTCGAGGTGAATATCGTATTATATCACCGAGTTTAATACATATACGTCCTATATCGTGTAAAATTTGATCATTAGTTATTATTTCATTATTATTTATCGCTAAACGAACATATTTCAATGCAATTAAAAGTGAATTTAATGCCATCATAATAAATTTATTTAGACGATTTTCATCAAGTGGTTCAATTACTGGTAATTGCATTGCACGACGTACAAAATCAAGATCATTTTTAATTGATACTAACCTATTTAAACAAAAAAAAAGAAAATTAATTAAAAAAAGAGAACGTTTTTTTTTCGTATAATATACTTCTCTTGAAATTGTATATCGTTGGCAGGCGTAATTATATCATTATGAAGAATATTATTTATATTAATTTTTGAATCAGTCATTATTGACATATGAAACAATATCTCACTAAAATACTGTTCACCATGTAATTGTTTGAAATCATTCAATAGAATTTGACTCATATGTTCTAAAAATGAATATATGTAAATTCCAAGAATAGTAAAGACACGAAGCCTATCAATTAGACCGTTCCATCAGAAGTCAAGTATTTTTTCTTTTACATAGCAACAAATGTATTATTCGTAAGGTATATAATGAAAAAAAAAATGCACGATACGTCCATGAACAAGTTTCAACAGAAAAGAATTAGAGGCATTCTCATTACACTTATCATAAAAAGAAGTATTTGACTCCGCAAGGTTTTACCGCTTTAATCCGTGTCGAACGAATTTAAGTCGTTAGAGATTAATTTTAATAAAATACTGTTTGAAGCAAACAGTCTTCATTCGAATATAAATAAGTTAGTCATACATTAACCAGCGTGGGCGCGGCGCCCTAGCAAACGTCCGTATTTTGATATAAGACATTTTTTCCCAGTTCTCGATAGTTGGTGACTAGAGTCCATCGAATCCGCGTCCAGGAACAACTCAACGAGCTATAATTCTCAAAGTTTGTAATTACTGTAATACATACAATGCATTTGTATTTCCAAAAATAGATGTTCGCATGCGCAAAATTCTGAATTGCGCCTCTGAAAAAGTGGTGAACAGAATTTTAAAAAATGTTTTGAAGTCAAATGAGAGGTCGTGTCGGTTCTTTTGCGGGCATTTTCTGGTGGGAAAAATAGTTCGGAAGGAAGGCACGATTGCCTCAAGTAGTCCTGCTCCGAAAGAGAAAATCTAGATGAAATACTAAAATTTAGTCTTTTTTTCCTCAAATTAAGCAATAATAAACCGAATTATTACATGAATGCTTACGATATAATACTACAAAATTTGGAAGTATATAAAATATTAATTGCGTAATGGTGATCAATGTTATTAGTATAGGAAGATTCAACTCTTCTAAAAACATTTGAACATATACTGGGAATTTTTAGATATTATCATTCTGCCGACGAGTGTCACCTTTTCTTCTAAGTTTATATTAATAGATAAGATTCATTCAACAATAAACAAAACATTTTAATGAAATCTATAGTTTCGAACATTGAGATTATTTATTTATTTATTTATCTAAGCTTAATTTAATTAACTTACTAGGAAATGTTAACTTCGATGATGATGATGATGATCCAGCTGACTGTGGTCTTTCACGTTTATTTCCATTTGATGAATCATCTGATGTTGATAAATCAAATAAAACAGCATTGCATAATGAATCAACTAAACCAGTTTCACGTCGAGTGATCATTGTTTTACTTGATGCACGTAATCGACGATCTAAAAAAATCATTGATATTACATAGAATAAGTAAACAAAACAAAATTCTTTTTGTTTTATTCTAACCATCTTTATTTATTTGTGGTCCATCAGATTTTTTAACTAATTCTAAATAATCTTTAACTTCTGATGATGAAAGAAATGTTTGAGAATAACATAATGATTTAATAGCATTTAATGTTGATATCTAATATTATAATAAAATTAAATTATACGGAACACAAAAAAACAAAACACATGATATTTACTCGATTCGTCTCATTTGTTTTCGGTAACGCATTTTGTATAAGATATTTTAATAATAACTTTCCTACATTTATCACATCAGTAAAATAAAAACGTTCAACTAAAAATAAAACTGATGAGCAAAAAAAAAACACAGAAACTTTTTAAAAATATGTTTCTCAAACCTCGTGCTAATCCTCCAACAAGATAATGTGTTGCTATAATAGCAAATGGATTTAGAAACTGTTCATTTATCGGATCTGGTCGACTCAACAGATCTTCCCTAGAAAAAAAAGCACACAAATATAAAACAGAGAAAATTTTTATTTCATTTTTTTTCTTAATAATTTTATAACAAACCATCGTAAAATTGATTGAGTCAATTCATTATATTTTGTACTGTTCGTATTATCGCTAAATGTTTCAATTAATGTTTTCCATTCGAATGTTGTATTCGATGGAGATTGTGGCTGCTGTTGAGTATCACCATCAGATGATGGTGGAGGTGTAACAACAGTCATATTTTAATTTTAATTGAATAACATTAAATATTCAAAATTTGTTTTAGAGTTTTCTAAAAAGATATATATATATATATAATTATCAAAATCATTTTAAGTATTTGTTGACTTGATTAACTGAACAAATAAAAGAGGATGGTAAACGAGAAGAAAATAAAACGAATGGGAGAGAAATAAAACTGAGTCGGTCCGATTCGCAAGGCAAGTAAATAAATAGACAATAAATAATTCTTATGAATCATTCATAACCAATGAAAATCATCTATAATCTGTCAAAAGAGGTCGTCCGATTCTGATTTTAGTAGAGTATTTTTTTGATTAGCAATATATTGGGAATGTATCATGATTCATTATGAAAATATTATATATATATGTATCTTCGTTCTCGCTTCATAGACGACGCTATCTCGAATATCTGAAACGTATGTTAATATTACCAAAAACAGCGGTAGGATGTATGATTTCGTTTCTTGTTTTTTTAGCAATCGCCATGCAAGCATTTGAAAGAACGTAAAATAACCAGTAATTCTTTTTGCTGTTCTATTCTTTTTCAACATTACAGACGACAAAAAAACACATCCACGCTATCATTTTGCAATTGCAATGATTTGTCATGCTGTACATATGCATATATTATAATTTTTTTTCTACGAGTAGTTGCTATTGACTGTATAGACGAAGTTGTTATATTTTTTGCAAAAAACAAGATAAGTTATTTTGTTACTGTCAACTTATCAGCATGATTAGAAGTAATCTATATGTACACATATATATGTTCCTTTTAGTGTGGGTATTATCCTTTATTTTTCTATATGAAATATATGCAGGCGTATAGATATTTTCGACGCAATATATTGTTCTTACAAAAATAAATAAAATTTTGACTGATATTTTCTAGATTAAATTATGAATATACTACTTTTTGTTATTGGTGCTATTTACTTCATTGCTTCAAATGGTAAGTGTATATACAATGTCACATGTTTTTATATATCTTAATTTTTACTGATCTTTCAGAAGTAGCAAGTCTTGAAACAAGAGTGCAAAAACTTACTTTACGTGGTCGTGTAATTTTTCCTAGTGGTTCTCGTATACCTATTGAATCTGATGGAAAATTAATAGTTGAATTACAAGATACATCAATGGCTGATGCTCCAGCAAGAGTTATTGCACAAAGCATAGGTAAAGCTATTCGATTTCCAATGGCATTTGCAATAAAATATTCACCAAAACAAATTATTCCCGGAGGTTTTTATTCATTACATGTTACTATAAGAAATAAAAATGATGAATTATTATATATAAATGATGTTTATACTCGTGTAACTCCAATTGGTCTTGATCGAACAACATTGATTGATGTACCTGTTATACTTGTTAAAAGTTGAGGAAAAACAATTCTTTGGTTTCTTTTTTTTTTATACTAAATTTTTCTTTAAAATTTTAGCTACAAAATCGGTTGTTAAAAAAACTCAATGGCCTGAATTAATTGGTACAAATGGGGAAGATGCAGTTAAAATTATTAAACAAGAAACAGGTAATATTCACATAATGTGAATGTGATGAGAATTGTTTTTTTTTTTTTAATAAATGGAAATAGGTTTTTCAAGTGTTATGACCATTGAAGAAGGATCACCAATTACATTGGATTATCGTACAGATCGTGTTCGTGTTTTTGTTGATAAAAAAGGCATTGTGAAATCGGCACCAAATATTGCTTAAACCATACGCTTGAAAATAAGACCGAAAAATCAATGACATGAACATTGTTTATTATATTTCGAATATTTTTATAACAACTATCTTTTCTTCATATCAAACAATATCATTGCATGAAATTTTACCTTTAATTACAAATAAATTTTTTTTTGTCATATGAATTACTTATAAGAAGTTATTTTTTGAATTTTATTATCAATCAGCAGTCATAGTCTTTAATGTTATTTCATTTGCAAAGTATCTATCTTATAATATTTTAATATAGAATTCGTAAAACTTATAATGTTTAATGTAATTCTCTATGACATTCGTCCTATTGAACGGTTTCTGAAAATCATCAGGATTGAATTAATATGAGATCAACAAACGATTCTTGTTCTGTCTACAAACAAGAAAAGTAAAGCGAACTCGACAGCACTGAAATCTAAAGAAAATTTGTAGTATTAGTCTGAGTAAATTCAGGTGATATTTATCGATATCTAAAAATCTAGTTGAAGGACCGAAAAACCACCGCTGGTTTGTTTTGGAAAGTGTTATATCAACATATCTAACTAACAGAATTGAGTTGTTTTTCGATGTTTATGCGTCTTAGCCGTCTGTACTACCCATGGGACTCAAATTGATATCAGTTATGAGATAAGTTTTTATTGGAGATGGTACTGTAAAAAGTTTTATTAGTATAATATTATATTCTGAAACTCTTTTCTTCTAGGTTAAAGTGAATTCTTTCTAATAAATAATTCGAGTTCTGACAGAATACATTCTCTGCAATCATTTATAGCTGGAATTGAAAGTCGAAAGCACTACCGCCGATTCGTATGAATACCGCGGTATACCATAGTTAGTGGAGCAAACATGTAACATAGATTTTTCTGATAGTAAAATGTACATTATTGCTTTATTTTATGATCACATTATGTATTGCATTAGATTTAATCAATCATCTTCGAGAGTCAAATGTAATAAGCAATTTCTCTCTTTGACGAGAACTACTTGGAATATTTGCTGTCCCTTCATATTTTACACATACTTGTTTGTCTTGCAAAATGATATGCATAAAAGAAAATAAGGTGTGGCACAATATTAGACAACACTAGAAATTATCTGTTACATCTACTTCAAGAAGTCAATGAAATAATCTAATTAAAAGATATGTTGCGATAATAAATCAAAACAAATAGTAGAGATGGTCTATTGTTTGTCAGAGATATAACTTGTCAACAGTGAAAACAACATATGCAATGTGCTATTTCCAGGGAATAAAAGATGATGAGTCGAAGAAATGTACGTTGTTGATGTTTTTTCTTTTCAACAAAGTTAAAAGATTATGGAGGATGTCTCAAAAGTCTATTGAGACAATTATAAATAGTTCTTTTGTCATATTAGCTCCTAGATGTAATAGTCTTATTAATAGAATGCCGTAGAACAGTTGCTTTTATCTTGAGTAATATCATTTTGTTATATTTATTTTATCTAAGTAGAACTTTAACTGAAACAATTCAACTCTAAAAAATTCAAGAATCTACCTTAATACATTTAAGAGAAAAATCTTCATGAGATGTATGAGATTTTATGTCTGTTCTAATTAAATTCATTTGAATTTCATTTACAATTGTTCACTTCACACGATTATATTTGCCACAATCATAAGAACCTAATTATATATTAGGATAGATACAGATTTTATTTTTGACTTTAGAGATTATCTACTTCTTTTAATGAGACAAAATAAAAAAAAATGTTCTATGTCGAAGGATTTTATTCGTTAGTGTTGTTGTGATCTTTCTTTAAATTCATATGTATAGTGTTCATCTTTCACAACAAGAAAAAAACAAGCTTGTGAATATTCTTCTTAATATTTTGTCTTCTCTGCTACGTCTATTTATTTCATTCTTTCATTAATCTTGAAATAATGCTTTGGTTTCTGAAGTCATAAGAAAAATAATTTACTAGTGCAGATAAAAAAAAATTGTTTGAGTTATTTTAGATATTCAAAAGAAATGGAAAATATTACTAAGATTTATTGCAAATGAAAACGAGTCATTTATAGTTACCCTGTAAATACTTCTCATTGAATTTTTCTCACGGCACTCTTTGTTTTTCGATTCTCTCTCTACTCACCAGCTTGCACAATCAGAGAGAATGTGAATGAAAAGTTACCGATCAACAAATGCGCATAAAGGGGAACGTAAAAATTTAAGATACTTTTTTTTTTACTTCCGTATTCTATTGCGAAAGAAAGGAAGTAAATGATATGTTTTGAGTGCTGTATACAAGTTACAGTCAAGATCTACACAAATCATTTATTCTCGATCAAATAGATCGGAGTGTGAAAGAAAAAGGCTTTTCAATTTTCTTTAACAGGCAAAAATGTACGACACTTTCAGAATTTTAGTGATGATATCATTACCGATAAACAAACAATTTCAAAAATACACTTTTGAATGCTAAATTAAACGACCTATATTTTAGTATAAAAATTTTTATTAATTACTAACTAGAGAAAAGTTCTCTTATATATTTTGATTTGCAACTCAGACTTTCGATATGTTTGCAATATCATTTATTTCCATAAAAAGTTATTTTTGTTAATTCTACTCGTTAATCGTAGAATCATAGGTATTGCAGAAAAGTATTTTGACTTTGATGAATATTGTCCATGAGTAGATCACACATAACGTCTTTCAACTGATTTTGTAGGCTCTGATTGAATTTTTCAATCTTTGCAGTATTTTTCGACACAGAAAACAAAGTTAACATGTTTTTAGAATGTTTCGTACATTTTTTTTTGATGAATTGAGTTGAAATTCTATTAATATTTTTTTGTGTACAGATGTATGTGTCGCTTGTTCAAAATGAACAAAAACTTATCATAGATGTGCATATTCTTATGGCCAAGTATTGACTTGTGAGAACGAAACAAGGTGATAGAGCATATTATTAGAGACACATTGATACAAAAAATAGCCACACTTTTTCGGTTAATATTAACAGATGTTTCAGTTATTTGAAGAAACCTAAATTGTTTTTCTCTTTTCTCAATTTTGAATCAAACAGAATTTTACTTCCAAGCCAAATATGACTTCGTTCTCACTAGTTCATACATAGCTTCTAACTATTATCTGCGACTCTTTCACTATTTTGATTTCATTATTTTCTTTCATTTAGTCTCTATGATTTATTAATATATCAAGTTGCAGTCGAGTAGCACCGATCGATTCTGAAGTCGATCATATTCTATTCACATTTGTATGAGTATGTCTCGCTGATCGTTCTTTCAT